CTCAGCTTCTGTGCTATGCTCAGCGTTAAGCCGTACACTAAGACTTAGAAGGAACCGGGCAATTACAACAGCTGCTTGTCTAGTGTGATCTGGGTTGTGCAGCTAATCATCTTCCACGCTAGCGCCTGTCTAGAGAAGGCGGAGCTAGGTGATACGCTCGAGCGCATTGAGCAGTATTGCGGGCGGTTCTTAAAGCAGGACACCGAGACTCCTATAGGCGAGATCCTCAGCTGGCGCTTACTGCTGTTTATTGTCTCGAAGGAGGTCGTTGGGCCGCACCAAGCACAGTGGGATGTAGACGAGAAGGTCCTGACCTACCGGGACGTTGATTTGCATATGGATCACGTGCCGCGGCTCTTACTCTCCGACTTCCAGCAGGCCCAGCACCTACTCTACGACGAGCTAATGTTCGGGGCCCAGAACCTCCCGCGGATGCGTACTTGGGCTTTAAAGGACAACTTAGACGCCGATGCCTTTGGCTAGTTCTTTGGCCAGCACCAGGAGAACGTTAAGCTAGTAAAGCCGCTAGCGAGGTCTTTGCTAACCGTTATCCAAGACTCGAAGCCGTTGCGGGACTCGTTCCTGGATGCCACTGCAGATGGCGCTAAGGTCTGGCGAGGGAAGGCGATTGAGCAGTATAAGGCTGTAGCTAACGAGTTCCTGAAAAGGCTCTTAGTCTTAATCCACATGGGTTCTGGCCAGCCTCTGCGCGAGAGTGAACTGTTCTCCGTCACCTGGCGTAACACCCAGCGGCGGCGAAACGTCTACCTCAAGCACGGGCTAGTTATGCTGCACACCACATACCACAAAGGTCAGCAGCAGACGGGCAAGTTTAAGGATAATATCCGGTTCTTACCTGCACCCGTTGGAGACCTCTTGCTCGACTACTTGGTGGTTGTCATCCCACTCCGCCAAGTCTTCCTCCGCTAGTCTGCCCCGCATACCATTATCTCTCCGTACTTGTAGTGGTAAGACGGGAAGGTCTGGGCTAACAACCGGCTTACGCGGTGCATGGAGCAGGCATATAGTCGGGCTAGCATCCCTAGGCTACACATAGCCAACTAGCGGCAGATGATAGTTAATATCGTTAAAACTAAGTTTGCAGCTAACGTTGAGTGCTTTGAGGTTAACGACGAGGCTAACGACGAGGATGCCGAAGAGATTGAGGCTAACATTCGGGTTATGACCAAGCAGCGGAACCATAGTACGCGGACTATTAACCGGGTATATGCAAACCAACATAATGCTAACTTTAGGAATGTATGGGATGGCCTTATCCGCCGGAATCTGCGTGCTTCAACTCTGTGGAAGGACTTGTAGGGGCTTGACTAGCTGCTTGGACCTGCTAGGAAGAGGAAGCGGGATGGTAAAGATATTGGTGGTCCGCAAATGCTCAAGAAGATCGCTATAGGGGTCTACCGGCCACGGAAGAAGTGGTTAGCTATGGCTCTACTAAAGAGCGCCAGAAAGCTGTACCAGGATAACACGCTGCAATGGAGGTCAGCAGCCCAGGAACGAGCTATAACTACTGTTATGTTATAGACTAAGCAAGTGGTGGTTATCATGGCTACTAGCGAGGGGAAGAGCCTGCTGTTTATGCTGCCCTGCATCCTCCCTAATACTAGGGTGACGATCTTAGTCTTGCCCCTTGTGTCTCTGCGAGGGGACCTCCTCCGCCGAGTCCGAGAGTTGGGGATCGATCACTTGGTGTGGGCGCCTGGCGAGCAGCAAGATGCACCCTTGGTGTTTATCATAGTTGAAGTAGTATGTACGGAACAGTTTCGGACTTATGCCTACAAGCTCGCGGCTATGCAAGACCTCGGCCGCATTGTGTTTGATGAGGCTCACTTGACCATCACAGCGTCCGACTATCGCCAGGCTATGGTTGACCTCGCCTTGATCCGCAACGTCCGTACGCAGTTTGTTTACTTAACAGCCACTCTACCACCGACAATGCAGGCCACGTTTGAAGAGCAGAACAACTTAGTGAATCCTAAAGTGATCCGGGCATCGACGAACCGGCGGAACCTCTTCTACATAGTACAGCGGGCCACTAGGCTAGGGACTCTTCTAGAGGAGGGCGCGCGGAGGGCTCGGGACGCGTGGGAGAATAGCCGGCTCTTGGATCGGGCTCGAGACAAGATCATCTTGTACGTGCGGACAAAGGAAGATGCTGCTACGCTAGCCGAGCTGCTCTGCTGCTCCCAGTACACAGCCGACGTAGGCACGGCTGAGCAGAAGGAGGAGCTGCTGAGAACGTGGCTTGCCTCCTCGGACTAGCCGTATATCATAGCCACGTCTGCACTAAGCGCCGGCTTCGACTATGCCCACGTTCGTCTAGTTATACACATCAATAAGCCGTCGTCTTTAGTCGACTTCGCCCAAGAGTCTGGCCGGGCCGGACGAGATGGAAAGGAGGCGTACTCGCTGGTCCTCCTCTCCCCTACGTGGAAGCCGCAAGCCGCTGAGGGTACCGCGGTCGAGAGGAGAGCCCTGCACCGCTACCTGCTCGGCCAGGACTGCCGCCGGGCATGCTTGAGCGAGCACCTCGACTCGGAGCCGTATTGGCGACGGTGTCGGGCTGACGAGGACGTTGTCTGCGATATATGCAGCGCTGGCCCAGCTCTCGCTTTGTCTCCTGCTCCGTCTCCCGAGCCGGCTCTCCAGTATACTGGCAGTGCAGCTATCCAGGAGAAGCGGCGCCGAGCCGACCTCGAGCTAAGCCGGTACCAGGAGGACCTGCTCGCGGTTCAAGGCACGTGCCTGCTCTGCCGGGCATTCGGCGATGCCTGGGACCACGCCTTCCCTACGTGCTGGCGTCGGTTTGAGTTCTTTGAGGCTCGTAATCGTGTTAAGGACCAGAAGCAAGGAGGGCCGTGGATTACTCCGTACTACGCGTGCTACTGGTGCTATAATCCCCAGGCTGTCTGTCAGCGAGCGGACCCGGAGAGCAACTGCCAGAGCTGCCTCTACACGGATATTGTCATGCCGCTCTGTTATAGCATCTTCCACGGAGGCGGGGCCGAGCAGTGGCTAGAAGAGCAGTTTTAGCGGACGTTTACAGACGTCGACGAGTTCCTTAGGTGGTGTAGTCAGGCAGCTAGCTTCGGTGGAGGTAAAGCAATCTGGGGAGTCCGTGTAGCTGCGGCTGCTCTTATTCAATTTGAGTTATACTAGGCTAAGCATAAGGTTATAACGG